GGACCAGTTGATATCCCAACTGATAAATCATATGGTGTTCTTCCCTATATTGCACCAGAAGTTCTTTTTGGAGCAAAGCAATCAAAAGAAGCTGATATTTATAGTTTCGGCATTATTATGTGGTCACTTGCAACTGGACAAAAACCATTTGTTGAGAGAGCGCATGACATCGCATTAGCAATTGATATTTGCAATGGGATTAGACCAAAGGATATTGAAAATGCTCCAAAATGTTTTTCTGATTTGATGAAAAGATGCTGGACAAGTGATCCAAGTCAAAGACCAACCGCATTTGAATTGAATGAAACGTTTAGCGATTGGATAACTGATATATGTGATAACCCAGAACCAACTGAGATCAATGAAGAATTTAAAGTTGCTGAGGAAAGATGTGATATTTTTCAAATGCAGAAAAACACGCCACAAGAAATTCATAAAGATGCGTTTTACACAAGTCGATTTCTTGACTTTCCAGATCTTAAATATATGATACCACCCACTACATAAAAGATGCATTTTACACAATGATACAATTCTTTCAAAATTACAATTAGTTACTGTTTGCAGGAATTTATTTTCTTTCAAAGTAATTTTATTAGGTTCTCAAGCGATAGGCTATCATCACGTTCCGCGACGAAGTTCAATATCATATCTCCAACAACCATTGTTGATACTCATCCTTCCATGATAAATGCTAATAATGAAGTCGGAAATTCGATTGACGACGCGTTTAATGCGCTTTCATTTTACCGAACTAATCAAACAAACTTCCGCAACAAAGTTTTGTTTATTCGTTAATTAATTCTTTCTTTTTCGTCATATATTTTCTTTTATCCTTATTATAATCAGTTATGTTCGATCTCGTTTATTCTTATATTCATGCTATCCTTTTTTTTCGTTCTGTTCTTAATTCATCAATCTACACGTACATAAAAATTAGCTGTTTAATTTTTCGCTTTATTCTTTTCGTCTTTCGTCATTTATTCGTTCTGTTCTCATAATTATGTTTTTAGATTCATTCGTTCATGTTTTTTGTTTTATCCTTAATATATTTATGTATTTCGTTTTATATTCTCGTTATACTTACGCCATATTTCGTTCTGTTCTTAATCCATCAATTATATTTTCAGTTATTTTTTCCTCGTTTTCGTTATGTATTTCGTTCGATCATATGAACTTACCTCATGTATTTTGTTCTTTTTTTATATTCTTTTGTCATGTATTTCATCTGTCTCATACTAATACACATGGATGTAGTTCTTTGTATCCTGTATTCTGTATTTGAATTCAAATCAGATTCAAATTTAGATTTATCACAACTTTGTTTATTAAACATTACGATATCTTTTAAGGAGATAAATAGATTTTTTACACATGTTCGGCGTAAACAAAGCAAAGTTTTAACTTTTAACGTTTTAATCTCAAAAATGGTTTCAACAACTTGATTTTACAGGAAGGGATATTGATCAACAAATTATTACTCATTTTGTTTATATTGTATTATTTTTAAAGACAATGTTCTAAGAGTGATGTTATATCTGCTCTATTTGTATTTTAATATTAATGTCTTTTTTCAAAGTCTCTGTATTATTACAGAGCAAGTATAAATGAGTGGATTCAGTGAATTTTGTCTGTGGGAATAGAGATGTGCCTAGGCGCATAGTTACTAACCGATATCGTCACAATTATAAAGTTCATAAATCATCACCAATTAAGGCATTTGTACTCCATAAATAATGATAAACCAACGTATTTATACAGAACATACAGTGGCGATCATAATTGATGTAACAAAAAAATAATTTTCAAATATCTCACGCCAATTTGAGGATATTCATTTTTTAATTAATGGATTTTGTTCGTAAATAGTATAGTTTTTAGACTATCAAAACTAAATATGGATGCATAGAATAACTATCCCGCAAATTACGCGTTTATTCGGTAAGTACTGTTGCATTACTTTTTTTCTTTTTCGTACATAATAAAATACGACATAATAAACTTAACTAACTACTAATTTTTTTTTATTTAAACATATATATTAGGTAGAATTCGACCTATCCTACCATCTCGTATAGCCACCTCGTGCCTTTATACATCACGAATTCTTTCTGGCCTCGAGTGGATCAGGTTTCAACATCAATTTCCTGCCAAACCTATTGTATCTTGTTCCACAAGTCTTCCTTACCAGAAATTTGCTCAGGAAGACACCGGAGACGACGATCAACCTCATTCCATAAATGCTCGATGGGGTTTAGATCGGGAGATTGTGATGCCAATCCAAAACTCGAACTCGATTGTTCCTAAACCACCGTTTCGTCGAAATTGCCGTATGTTTAGGATCCCCGTCTTGTTGGAAAATGATATTTCTAACAGTAAACCCATGATCTCTAATGGTATTCATAAGATCCTCACGAAGTATTTGTTGATATAATTCGGCAGTCATGATACCATCGATCTTACAAAAGCCACCAACACCCCGGGATGTAAAACAACCCCAAATCATCACGGACCCACCTCCAAACTTTACCGTAGGCTTAATATGAAACTGGTTTAATGGCTCCCCTGGACGTTTCCAGTAATATTGCTTCCCATCTGAACCGAAAATTTTAAACTTAGACTCGTCGGACCATATAACCTTTGACCAATCTTCGATGGTCCAATTTTGTGCAAATTCTAACCGCTTTTTTTGATGTACTTTACTTAGGTAGGGTTTTTTCTTTTTATTCCTGATACCAAACCATTATCCCACAATATACGACGAATAGTAAGTGGTGATATATTCATATTTTCTTTTTCTTGGATGCATTTTTGGACTTCTACTGCCGACGAACACCTCCGGGACGACCAGACTTTACCGCATCTTCAAGAGAACCTTGTTCGCACCATCTTTTATTAATACGAGAGACTGTTGGGGGGCTAATATTTTTTGACTTTGCTATTTGTCTTGTTGTATATCCCTTTTGAAGAGCAAGAAGAATTTGTGCACGCTCTTCTGGAGTTGTGTGGCGTCTTTGTGTTTTAGTTTGTTGTCTAAAAAGATGCAACATCATACGATATGTAAACAATACACAATAAACTTACCTTTATACGATATTTATGTTGCACGACTATAACCATTTGATTTTTGCATACCCTATTTCCGTATTTATCTAAAAATAGAAAATAATATCTATTAAAATTTCAATATATCGATATTAAAACTAGTGTTTCAAGCCGATAACAAAATACCGGCGCAACTGAGTCGTAATTCTTTGCTTCAGCTAGCCGACTCAAGTTGATAGTCACGTGAATTTCCTTATTTGGATACTTTATTTATATTACGAGTTAATATATATTAATATTATGTACATGTATTATCTAATATACATATTAACGTTAGCTCTTTTCTTGCAATAATTCCGGAAATACATTCATAAAAGCTGAATTTTCTTTAAGAAAAAGAATATCATGTACATTTGTAGGATCAAGCTGATTTCTTTTATCCATTAATATATTACCAGCATCACTAAAAAGATGCTCAGCAGGAACTAAAGAAGCTGAAATTGCAAACTTGTTCAGCAAGTAATGATAGTATTGCCTTGTGATCATTCCATCACTTATACAGATTATTTGTTACATATAATGGATGTGATACTTCATATTTTGATAATGCTGGCATGTTCTGATAAATACAAAGTTCTGATTCAAAAGATATTTTAGTAATAATTATCATAATGTTGAAATTATAATAAAATAATGACATAAGAGATTGATCTTGCAAATAAGAAATCTGAGTTAAATTATTAGAGGATTCAAAAATAGTTGATAAACTTTCCATAACATTTTTCTTTAGTTTTTCAATAATTTGATGAATTTTTTTTCTGATATAAATGCTAGATTTTTAAATCTTGAATCTAAAAATAATGTAATATAATCAAGAATATTTGAATTCTCCCATTTTCTTGTTAATAATTCATGAATTTTTTCTAAATATTCAGATAGATAAGTATTGAATCCTGTAACAATTTTGATTGAATTATCTCTCTTTAACTTAGATCTTTATTTTATACTATCTGTATAATAGATTAACTTTTGTATATAACAAATATATTTATTTTGCAGATCATTGCTGCATCATATACTACATCACACATAATACTGTATCACAAAAATCATATCACTTGCCAAGAAATTCACACAGTATATTTAAGTTATAGATAGTTTTCTTAGTAGAATTTCTCTTTTCTCTTGTTCTATTAATTTAGCTAATATATTACTATATTTATATATTTTATTTATAATTATTATTTTTTTATTTATTCATTAATAAATATCTTCTGGAGATACTATTATATAAATATTATTTATTATTAATTTCTATTTATTATTATTATTATTAATTCTATATAATATTAAATTATTATTTAAAGATATTATTTTTATTCTGTATTTTTAATAATATAATAATGAATAAAGAATAAGTTTTAATATAATAATCTTGTCTATTTTGAATTAGTTTTCTAAATAAATTCTATTTTAATTACATTATCATATATTTTAAATCTTCTATATGAATTTTTCTAATATACAGTGTGTTACAAAAAAAATTGGCCAAAAAAAGTTAGCAATTACTCAATAACTTACATATCAATTTTTATTTAGTAAAATTTATTAAAAAGCTAAACAACTCTAGTTTTATTTATGTAAAGTTTAATAACAAATTCTTTCACCATTATTTTTAATTATAAGTATACACCTGTTCTTTATTGAATTAACAAGATTAATTAGAAAATTATTTGGAATTGCATTCCACTCTTCTATTATAAATTGTTATAATTTAGCCAATTTACTTGATATTCATAATTCTGTATTTTTTTTGATAATAGCTCACAAATTTTCTATAGGATTTAAATCAGGCTATTGAAAGATCAATTGATTACTTCTGAGATATTTTTCTTAAGAAATTCTTTGACATAATGACTTGTATGCTTGAAATTATTATCCTACTGGAATTTCCAATTATTTTCAAGTATACTATTAATATCTTGAAAATGTTTTTCAAGTATTTTGACATAGAATTTTGCATTCATTATCTGCATGAAGCAAAATAAATTCATTTTTCTCCTAATAAAAAATCCACATTAGGTGAAAACTTTTTGTTGATTTTTTGAAAATTATTTAGTTAGACGCTGATCTTTATATCAATACTTAATTATATTTCAAAATAATTGAAATGCAGTTTTATCACTGAATAAAGTTTTCTTTCATGAGTCATTAATATGTTTCTTAGCCCTCTCAACACATTTTGCCTTATGAGCTTTCATTAATATAAGCGTACCAATTGATAACTGATTTTTATAACCTAATTTATCTAAATATCTTTTGATTGTAATATAACTTATATTTATATCATATTTAGAAAGTTTTATAACTAAATTTCTTAATAACTAAGTAGAATTTCTTTGAATAAATTGTCTGAGAATTCTTGTTACATTTGATATAATCTTCTTTTTTCTTTTATTTCC